GGAGTGACAACTAGATATAAACCATAACACTACCTAAATGTATGTATTAAAATTTAAATTAAATAAAATTAAAGATTCAGTATGTAAGTTCATACACACATTCCCAGGACACAGTAACCACAAGCAACACTCTAGACTACGTAAATGGGGCAAATTTCCATCAATGTAGAAAGTTCTATTGGACAGCTCTGATTAGAGCTGCAAATACAACTCCAGGTGTTGGATGTCTCTGTTACTCATCCTTCCTCACTCCCTGCTGTGTCCCACCAGGCAAACTTGTAAGGGGTACAGTAAAGAATCCTGGCCCTCTGTGTTCTGGTTGACTTCAGAAAATTAGGGCACCAGCAAAACACTCTAGGGAACACAGTGAGATGGGACATTCTTTGCCCTGGCTTCCTCTGTCACCATCATTGTGATTTAACACATCACTATATGAAAAGCCACAGCTCTTGTTAGGCAGTTCTCCATGAAGCAATTCTCTCTGAGTTCTAGTAACACTTCTTTCCTTCCCAAATCCTTTACCCTGAGGTTAAGTAAAGTTTCCTTAGGGGTACTAGACTTGAATTTTGCACCACCCCTTTTTGGAGTTCCTCAACTCCTCTCATGTCTTTGGAAATAATCCTTTACTAGGCCTTTTGTGTTGATTATGCAGTAGGAAGGTATTATCTTCTTCCCATGGTTACCCTGACAGGAAAGCTTCTGCTCTAACCTAAGTCCCAGGGGGTGATTTGATCAACACCCACAGACACAGTAGAGTCTATAGCCCTCTGGGGTCAACAATGGATTTAGAAATATCTTCCTTCATTTAGTAATGATTAAACAGAAGAGAATAGCACAGGGATAGGCAAAGGTTTTTCCATGAAAGATAATATAGTAATATTTTAGGTTTTGTGGCCCATAAATACTGTGCCTGTTGAAATTACCCTACAGTATGAAAACAAGCAGCCATAGATAACATATAAACAAATGAGTGCAGCCATGTTCCAATAAAACTTTTTTTACAAAACAGTGAATGGTCAATGGACTGTAGTTTGTTTAAAGATGTAAAGAAAAAGCATACCTCTAAATTATTTTCTAAAAAAACCAAATACATATTCATTCATAACGACATTTTGATCAGTGACAGACTACATATGTTATGGTGGCCCTCTCTGAGTATTATGACCTAGTATAAGTGCACTTTATGTTTGTAGGACGATGAAGTTGCCCAACAATGGATTTATTAGAACGTATCCTTATTGGTACATTTATAAACTATTAAATAAATATAAATGTATTTTATAAATCTCAACAAATACATCTACCTCTCAATAAATTTCAAGAAAGTATGGATGGAACGGAGATGAAATATGAGACAAAATGCAAAAGCAAGACTGAGGCTAAGGTGAAGAAGATTCTTGCCCAGATAACAAAAAACGTAGAGAAACAATAAATACGCTCTTAGAATTACAATTTGCATTAGAAGCAATAAAGAGCAGAATTTATATTACAGAAAACTAAAGAACTAATAAATTTGAAATGTATCTTTTAGAATCTAGAGTTTAAAATAATAACCAAATTGATATATGAAGGACAGAGAAAAATGATCCAATTTATAGAAAGAAAACAGATTAGTGTTCCTTAAAAAGATCTCCAAAAAAATAATGACACTGGAAACACCAGTCAAATCTAGAACAGAATATTCCTGAATTGAAAAAAATCCTAAGATTGTAAAACAGAATGATACATGGTGCACCAAACAAAATTAATTTTAAAAAGAAGCCCACAGCTTGACATCAAAGAAAAAAACAAATTATAAGTATCTCAGGTAGAAAACAAAATAAAGCAAAGCAAAAGTAATGAAAAACATGACATTTGCAAAACATAAAAGAAAAAATCAGGTTGGGCTAATCTCAGAAATCTCCTTTATGAAAACTGAAAGTAAATGAAATGTCCCACAGTGTGGATAGAGTTAGGTGTACTTATAGTGCAACCAGATGTTAGATTATTATGCAACTATCAAAAGCAACATAGAGTGAGTGTTCTTAACGATATAGAAAAATGCATATGATAAAACATTTAGAAAGAAATCCATACATTAAAAACACTGATGGTTTGCATGTATGTATTTTACCACAATGGTTGTATTTTTTCTTGACTTCTAACTGTATAAAAGTTTTTTTAAAAAGTACCCTAAACACTATCTTTAAATTCTTTACCACATAGTTTATCCTCCCAATGAATTCATAAAATAAGTAATATGTTCACAGCACAGTTAAGAACATTGAGGGTGACAGTAGAGTAGTCACAGACTTGTCCAGATCAAACAGATACTGACACAACCCAGATTCTTGTTAATATCTAGCATTGATATTTTTCTATTTTGCTACGTTATTGAGAAGGGAGACAACTCCAGGTGAAGGGTGGCAACAGGAAAGACCATCGGAGCCTAAATCTGAGAGAGGATAAGGCCCCAGGGTCTTGATGTCATTTGGATAGTAAGGCTGAAAAGATAAGACCATTTTCCCTTTCCCAGCACACCTGTGGGATGTCTTTTCAGTGTGTCAACAGCAACCCACCTTCCTCTGGTGGTGATCTCACCTCCAGGAGCCTGGAAAAACCAAGAGAATTCAACAGGAACCCCAGGACTGACTAGTTTGGAGGATGACCTATGTTTCATTAATAATTTTTGAGATGTAAGTTTAATATTGTAACCTCCTCAGATCTCTATGATAATTTTTGTTTATAGTAAGAAAAAAGCTAGGAATAATGATACTGTCTCCTATTACAGAAAAACAGATCAGGAGCCAAGCTACAAAGACTATACCTAACTTTGAAATGCCCACCTCTTCTGAAGGAACATTATCTTATAAAGTCAAATTTCTGTGCTTGGCTTATTGATGGACTCAGCCTTTGGAGGAATTTTATAAACATACATTGAGAAAGAGAGAGAAAAGGAGAGAGTGAGGGAAAAAAGAGAAATGGAAAGAAAAAAGAAAGAAAGAGAGAGAGGAAAAAGGGGATGCCATTCTCCAAAAGGAGCTGGGGAAGAGAGGATGTAGCTCTTCGTGACATTTAGTCACTGACCCACTTGATCCCTAAACATCTTTATAAAGTGTCAATCACAGTGTTAGACTCACAGGACCCAAAGAGACATCAAAACATCATCCTTCCTTCCAGGAACCAATGGTTTGGAAACAGAGAAATTGTGTGTTTTAAAGGAAGGGAAGTCACATAACATGTCAGTGTTGTTTAGAAAACTCATTCTGTGAAATAAGTAAGAGAATTTCTTTATCTTGTAAAAACATTTAATTCAATAAAAACAAAACACATTCAAAGCAATGCTATTCACATAAGCAAGGCTATAATGACATGAACTGAATATGCTATCACATTCATGATGTGTAGTTTCCTTTGATAAGGAAACAGGATTAGAAGGATTAGAACACAGATGTCTTTACATTTATCTTTTTTAAAATAACTTTATTTCTTTTTTTCTTTTTTTTTTGGTTGAAAAAACCAGTTTTGTCCTATAGATTTTCCCAGAATTTTGATTTTGCTGAACGAATATTATATCTTTTTTTCTTTTTTTTTTTTGGTACCAGGGATCGAACTCAGGACCTTGCACTTGCCAGGCAGGAGCACTACCACTGAGCAGCATCCCTGGCCCCTGACTTTCTGTTTTTTTCTTTTTTAAAGTTAAAATAAATACGACACACAAAAAGCACACTTTGAAGGGCTGCATTTACATGAAATTCACAAATAGGCAAACCAATCTGTGCTATGAGGCACAGGTAGGGTTACCTTTGGCAGAGCAGGTGGGGGATGACAAGAAGGGGGCAAAAGGGGCAGCAGGCAAGTTTCTGTTTCTCTGTGTAGTGCCAATTATAGTACTATGTCTTAGTTACACAAAATACCCAATGCTCAAGATTAAAGGAGAAAAGGCTTATTGCAGCTCACAGTTTGTAGAGGTTTCAGTTCATAGGGGGCATGGCAGAGGGTCATCACAGAGGAGAAAGAGTTCATGGTGGACAGAAGGCAGCAAAGCAACAAAATAGCAAAGAAGCAGCAAGCAACAAGCAACCTAGCAGCCCTCTTTCTGTCACTTATATTCTGTTCATACTGCCCACCCTTAGGGCAGGTAGCACATCTGGGAAGGGTATTCCCATTATTCACTCCCAGAACTATCAGTAGACTATTAGTAATCACATACCCTTGAGCCCAGCTTCACAAACTTAATTCCAGCATCACACACTAGATTCAGCCAACCTCTAAAAATCCCCATCTATGAGTGCATTAGGTTTTGTGAGGACATCTGGACACAAGCTATAACAATTTGTTCATCTATGAAAATTCAATACCTGAACAATTATTACAAGTGCACTTTCCCACACGTACTCTGTTTCAATAAATGAGATAGATGATAGACAGATAGATAAATGACAGACAATAGATAAAATATGGCAGAAGCCATCTATTAATTTAGAATTAAAAATATACTGGTCTTAGCTATGATATTTCTGTATTTTTATCACTTTTTCTAATTACTATATTAATAATTTTAAAAATCAAACAACTTTAGCTGCCTTATATTGGGGTTAGAGACTAGAGTTGGGCAGACCAGCTAGGAGGCCATTGCCAGAGCCTGTTAGAGAAGATGGAGTGTGATAGAAGGGGAAAAGAGAAAGAAACAAAAACAGTATGTTAGTGTGCATGTCATCAGGATAAGAGAAAATTACCTTCTAAAAAGAAAAGATTTATTTTGGCTCCCAGCTTTGGAAATTCAGTTCATAATCTATTGGTGCCATTGCCTTGGGCCTGACAACACATTCAGCAGAGGTGAGCAGCACAGCAGAACCATGGTCAGGAAGTGAAAACATGAGAAGGGGCTAGAGTGCCACTATCCCCTTCCTAGAGCATTCTCCCAGGGATTTAAAGACCTCCCACTAGGCCCCATCCCCTTAAAGGTGCCTTCACCTCCCAATCTCCCAATAGTGCCAAGCTGGGGACAGCTCTTTTACCATTTGGATCTTTGCAGGACATTCCAGATCCTAACTATAACTGACGGTAAAGAATCTACAGGGCCAGATGACCATAAGCCATCCCTCTGGTTCTTCTGCAGACTCCAAATATGCCATCTGCATGAACAACACCAGACCCCAGTGTCTCAGCCATCCTGGAACACAAAAAGAGGTTTTAGTCATCTGTGGGATGAGATATGTTTGGTTCTAAAGCTCCTTTCTCTGAATGCCTCTATCAAGAATGCCCTCCTCTTATCCTGAACCCCCAGATAAATCATTTCTCTAGAGAATGGTGTAAATATTAAAAAACAGGAGATTGGCAGGAAGCAATAATCCATTATTAAACTAGGCATAATCTGTATGATTAGTTTGTCTGATTAACATGTTCTCCCTACCCACTATCACCTAGCATAGAGGAGGTCATGCAGGGCTGTGACAGCAGGTAGGCAAATGTTCAGGATCTGAAAATGTGGGCAGAGGGAGGAGGGTGTTACAGGAGGAGATACTGAATTACAGAGGCCACAAAGCACATAGCAGCACCTGTCCAAAGGGGGTCCAATAAAGAACAGAGGAATGAGCAGGTCACCAGCAACACTGAAAATACCCACCTGGTGGTGCTCTATAGGCCCACGCACATCCACAGAAAACCCTGTGAGTTGGAAACCCTTCTCTTCTTGACCATATGGGCCAAGGGCTTCTGCTTCCACACATCAGAATGGAGCATCCCCTCATTCCCCCATCCTGTGGGAAGACAAATGACTGATATGACTGATGAATAAAAGGAGTTATTCATCCATTTACCATGGTATGGTTGCTATTCTGAATCAGCACGAAGGTGTCTGCAAATCTCTTCCTCTGTTATTCACTCCTCTTTGGGTAGTCATAGTCTCCATCAGAGTGAGCCTACTTTTTTGCATCCTCTATGTGGGGAGCTCCTGGGGGCTGTTACCAGCCTCTACCAGATCAAGGCATTGTGTGATTGCTTTACTTCATCTCAGCCACAAATGGTTGACTAATCCTAGCCAGCACCAGCCTCCAGGGCCAGAGAGAGGATAAGCAAGCTCCTTTAGCCTTATGTTTCCTGTGATAGATGGCACTATTGTCCTCTATGTCTTCTGTACATGCTTTGGGATTCCCACAAAAAACTGAGTATATTTTCCTTCCCCACTGAAGTTGGGCTTGTCCAGAGGATTTTCTCTGAGCAAAGGAATGTGGTTAGAAGTGACAGCATGCTAGATTCAGTCCTTGATGTTAGGAAGCATCCTGTTTCCACTCATATGTATCTGTTCTGCTTCTGTCATTGCCATTTAATGAGAAGAGCATGACCCTTTGACCACTGGTCTACGTGGAAGGAAAGACATGTGAAGCAGAGTTGGACCTAATCTATAGTTTGAATTCAATCAGCCTAGATCAACTGACTTGCAGTAGATGGATGAGAATAAGTAATTATTGCTTTAAGACATTGAATCTTGAGGTGATTTGTTATGCAGCATTGTTGTAACAAGAGCTAGCTGATATACCCCATCATCCTTGCTCTCCAGTTCAGTAGCACCACCATTTTGGGTTATAATGTTGATATTTTGTCCAATTTCGCTGAATTATTTCTATTTTCACTATATCAACCAGATCCTCACAGGGAAATTTTAATTAGTGGTAAGATGAGAGCCCTGTGTGTAAGATGGGCCTTGACAGTCCTCAATCATATCTATTATTCAAATATAACTAATAATACTTTCCCCTTCAAAATACATTCTGGTTTATACAGTTAAGTTAAAGTCACCCTAGCTAAATCCACAAGATCCAACATTAACCATGTCTTTTTTTTATAGAAGCCACCACTTTGTGGTCAGCAGATACTAGAGAATTTTTAAAGCCACACTCTGAAAGGCAAGAGACCTGACCAGTAATTCCCATGGCAGCAGGTGAGATAAAAATAATTCCTCTCCTAAATACAGTCTATGTGTATAAGGTTTTATAAAAGTGCTATGGGGTATTTTCTGAGAAATAAACTCCTTAATACGACTTCATGGTAAGAGTTCTATTTCCTTTATTCTCAAGAGTCCTAGGAAAGAAAAATATGCCCCCTGGCAGTGTTCCATAAAACTAATGATGTGGGGGAATATGTGAATAATTGCCTGAATCACCGGGTTACATATCTGTTAGAAAATCTCCTGGCAATATAAGGAAGGGGCTCAGGACAGTTAAATTGGAGTCAAGTGAAATAAAGTTGTGCTGCATCAGCTAGACAATTCTGTGGGTCAAGGAAACTGTGGCAGCCACTTCTACAGTTTAGCAAGGGTGGGCCTCCAAGTGTCCAAAGTTCACAGTAACAGTGACATAAGAAGAGCACCAGAAGTAAGGAATAGAAAAACCAGGGCAAGATGTTGCAGAGACAGAAGGGCAAGACAGAGCAAGGCAGGGAGACACATCTGCCAGCTACAGATCAGAAACTTGGACCAGTGCCCCAGGCTATTGTACTAAGTGATGGAGGGGTAGATGTGACACCTTGAGGGTGTACACAAGGGTACTGACACAATTATCAAAACTTTCTACAACTAGGGAGCATTCTGTCTCCTTCCTGCTGGATCAAGAATCAGTCCCTGATCATGGCAGCCCAAAAGCCTCAGGTGGCAATAAATAGAAGAAAGTGCTTGAGGGAAAAATTCTTGCAAAGAAAAAGAATGATATATTCTAGCCTCACTCCAGCATGTAAAGTTAATTTCCTGAAACATGGAACTCAATGAAAACCACTAGATAATCTTCATTGTCAACTGAAGAAAGCTTGGCAATGCTTAATAAATGTTAGATGTGTGCCTAATTAAAATAAAGCATCCTACCAATATCTATCAAGTGTTATTTCTGTGCCAAACATTACCTGAGGCACTGCAAATGTAGCACAAATGAAAGAGATATGGTCCCTGCCCTCATGGAACCTTGATTCTCAGCCTTCATTGCATACTAGAATCACTTGGGAGTTTAATAAAATACCAGCATGTAGGCCCCATGGAAAATGAATTATGTCAGAAACATGAACGATGAAAACCAGTTGATTAGTGGGTAGATGGGTAGATGGATGGATTAATTAGTGAACTAATTAATGAGTTCTAAGTGCAAGGTTGTTCCTTATATAGTATTGATAGGGTGCTTCATAATATTAAATTTTCAAATTATTACAGTGAAAGGAAATAAAACAATTTTGAGAATGCCAGATGATGAAATCTAAAGATCCATTAAGCAAAGAGAAGATCAGGACACTTAAAAATATCAGCCAACTCCTTTCTCATCGACTCCACTCTCCGCCACCAGAAGAGGATTAATATTCATGATGTCAAGGACTATCCAAGGAAATAGTTTAGATTACTCTTCCAGTGGCATTTGCAGAGTTGGATGAAAGTCCTTGAATTGCAATAAGGTGGACAACCAGTTCTCACAGCGCATGACAACAATTCATGCCCTTCATCTGTAGGTGTCTGATGTCGAAGTGCACTCATGTCGACACAATTTTTAAATCACATTTCCTCCTCCTTCTCACCCACATACCTTCAAAGTACATTGAGAAATCATTTTAATGAGGTCATAAACTTCTCCATCTCCCAAAACATACATATGAACCCCTGGTTAATTTTCTCTCCCACACTACACCTGAGCTAGTTCAAACTATCTACTCAATTGACCAAATCAGAAACCACAGTCACCCACTGCCTTTGTCTCTCTCCCTCAACTCCAGCCAGTCCTTTCATGCCAAGTTCTCATGTTTCCTCCACATCTTCCAGTCTACAGTTTGTCCACTAGACAAGCTGGAGGTCTCCCCCAAGGTCAGCCTGCTGCCGACTTTCTCTTTTAAATCTACCCTACTCATAGCAACCAGGATGATCTGGTGCCCATCTTGGTCCCCTGGAAAGCCACAATGACTTCATGCTGCATTTGAAGTTAAATCCAAATCCTCTATGAGGCTGTGCAGAGTTTGGCTTCAGCTTCCCTGCTCTCACCACTTTTCACTATAGGGAGAGCATCTCCAACCCCTCCAGCTCCTTGCTTTCTCTCATTTCCAATGGCTAGACTTGCTCTTTTGTCCTCTGGAACTAGATTTCCCACTCCTTCCTAGATCTTGTCTTGCCTACCCTCCCTTGTTTCACTCCACAAAATAGGTGAAGTACCCTACTACATTCTCTAAGACATTACCTCCAAGTCTTCGGAACTTATCACTTAGACACAGTATTGTGTTAACTTGATACATTTTCTCACCTGTCAATGTCTGAAAGCTCTGAAAAGACCCAGTTTCCAGCATATAGTTCAGTACCTACTGCCAAGCAAGTACTTGGGGAAAACCTTTGAAAGGTGATTGAATTTGTGAGCTAAACAGAACTATGTATTCATGCAAGATGTATTCATCGAGGGTCTGCCTTGTATTCAGCACCATTCCCAGTGTGTGGAATACATCATCACAAAACAAAATTCCTACCCTGATGGGGCTTACCTACCTCCCAGGTGCAGGGAAACACGTATCTATGTCTTCAACAAACAGTTATTGACCACAGAATTGTACTATACACAGCAAAGATAGAGTGGCCAGGCCAGATATGTGTATGACACGTCAGTACTGAAATACTTTGTTTTTAGTTTCTACCTCTTGAAAAATTTTTTGCTTTCTTAGTGATATATTGACAGAAATTGTCAATGATTCCTTTTCTGCTCAGTCATTCTTGGGAGCACTATGCAGCATCTAATGCAAAGAGTCTGTGATGATCTCCTTCAACGAACCAACCAACAGCTAAGAAGGCAGGCTTTATCAGAACCCTGCTCAAAGTGAAAAAGAGGAGAAAGAAGCAATTTTTCTAACAGTTCTTCAGAAAAGGGAAGAGATATCTGCAAACTTCAGAGTCAGAAGCAGAGACCATCTTTCTGATCTGGTGGAGCACCCTGAGCAAATGAAAGCCTGTCTCAGGCTTTAATATAAGGTTATTTGCATAGCTGTCTAATTATTATGTCTCAGGATGGGTGGGGGAGCAAGTGATTTTCTACTCTCTATTTGCCTTAAAGATCAGAGGGTAATAAACTGTTAGTTTTATTCTTAATTGGTACATGCCTCTTCCTATTTCTTTTCTCTAAAAAACATCAATACGTGGTTTGTGATGTCTTTAGTGGAGGGTAAACTGTGACTGGGCCTATTATTAAGATAATCTGTCAGCAGTTATTCTTTAAAGAGGCCTCTGCAGAGGAAGACCCACAGTCAGCTTTTTGTTTTTGGTTTTTGAGGTTTTTTTCAGTAGTAAATATCAGGCCATTTCTAGAGTTAAACTGATACGAAAAACAAAACTGCCATGCTGGATAGAGGGCCATGCCTCCTCGGTAAACACGTGGGCTGTGGGTCCAGTGTGCGGAGGTGGAGCCTCCATCCTCTTGGAAATGTTGTGCCCAGCTCCTGCCCACTGGCCTGGCCCAGATCCTGACCCCACTGAGCTTCGGGAAGTGACTGCTGCTGTTCCCAGAGGCAGAGGCTGCTGGTAACCTTAACCCCATGTGGGCAGGAGCTCATCAGGGCCTCTCCTCAACCCTAAAATTAACAGGCAAGTTTTTGGAAGTGGACAGAAAAATGTGAAGCCATGTTCACTGTTCAGAGCCCAAAGGAAAGAGGATGTCTGCTTGGGCCTGAAAATCTAATTGTTCAATAAACCAGAACATGTGAACCAGAGCCTTCCTACCCTGATCCACAAGGCAGGGGCCTCAGGATCAGAACAGGC